GTGGTGGCAATCACTTTAAGCTCCCTCATCTCCAGAAAGAAGTCATGAGGCGTGCGGGCACTCTTCCATTGAACCTCTACTGCCCTGTGTCCCTCCTCGTGGATGCTAATTTTAGCCAATAAAATGCATGTATTCTGTCTATTGTCCAATTATATTGAAATGACGGCAGTAATACCAAAAAAGTGGATTTTCAAATGGTGGCATTAATAGCTAACAGAGGAAGTATAAGTTATTATTATATTGGCAACAACCTTTCTGATTTTCGGCCAATCAGGTCAGAGTGACAAAGAATTTTTGAACGGCAATTCTCAAGATCGTCCAACGAGTGGAAATATTTCTCAATATCGTCCAAGTTGAACGTTCGTGAGGTATTTTTTATTCAAATCATCCACCGCGGCATGATTGGCTAAAAGTTGGTGAGCTCGAGGATGCGGATACGGCATGCCTAGCATGATGGGCCGGGTGTACATCAGTATAGATCCAAAGTCACTCGGTCATACCGCTCGGTGGCTGTCGCGCTCGGTGTGGTGACGTGGACGGCGCGTGCGGTTGGTGGCTGCTGGAGGACGCTGAAATTCTGGAATGGAGAGGACTACAAACCACTTCGGACTTACTGTGCTTCCATGGTTTTTGAGCACATGAGACTTTTAGCCAATCATGCCGCAGTGGATGGTTAGGAATAAAAAATACCTCGCGAACGTTCAACTTTTCCGATGGTGAGAAATATTCGCAAGATTGTTTGGCTTGAATACAAAGCTCAAGTGACTAATATTGGTTTCTACTGGATTCCGAAACTCGTGCAAAACAAATAGTATCGTGACTCAATCAAATATCCGGTATGATGTTTCGCCACCCAATAATTTCCAATCATTGGAAAATCTTGAGAATTACCCATTTTTGAATTCTGCGAAAATGTCTTAGATGGATATTGTTTTAAAATTGATCAGCTTGCACAGAAGGGCTCAGTACAGTCAAGACTCCCATGAAGGGAACGAATTCGAGAGGTTCGAATATAGAAAATTAGAGGAATAGAAGTTCACAAGTCGATACAAACTCTAGTATATTATCCACCCATACAAATGTCTAATGAGTCAAGAAACGGATGGATGTCGAATCCATGTGCAGGGTTTGAAAGAGCACTGAGAGCTTTACCATGCCATCGCCAAGAATGCTCGTATGGTGCCAGCAGTTTGAAATCGTGGAAGACTGTAACTCATCCCAAACCTCCTTGGCCCAATTGATGGCAGACTCCATGACGACCTTGTGCATTTCGACGATTTCTTGCCGCGAAGGGACCGTACCAGCCTCTTTGTGACGACGCCGGACATCTTCGAACTTGGTGAGCATGAAACTTGTCTTGCGACACTGAATCTTCTTCTTGAAGGACGCGATCACTCCAGCATCCAAGGGTTGAAGGTACGCTGTCGTGTTCGGGGGCAAGAAATGCAACTTCACATTTGACAGGCCCTCCGGTACTTGGTGTGATGAAGCATTGTCGACAAGTAGAAGCACCTTACGGTCTTGTT